TTCGAATTGTTCCAAATAAACGCGATAATATTTCATAGTATATAATTGTTGACTTTTGACGAAAAAATTAGAAAAATCGGTGAGGGGCCGAAATTTGCCTTATCCGTTCTTACGCGGACAGCCTCTTAAAATGATTGCTAAAATAATGCCATTTAAGTTTAAAATAAAATAAGAACGAAAACGCTTTGGAATAGCTAAAGCATAAACTAGTGCATCCATCATTAACGACTGAAATACCTTAAAAGTACTTTTTAAAAACAAATATATATGACTGTCTTTCTTACCTCCAAACACCATATAGTCCACCTCGATAGGGTGATGTTTGTTCTTCAGMCCAACAAGGTCCTTAACACATGTYTTAAATTGTGTTCGTGTAGTTTCCTGCAACAAGCAATAGTCTAGTTATCGAATGATTGCAGACGAAATTCACGTCGACGAAGAAACATCCAAACATTATCTTTTTCATATCTATTCTGATAGTGATCAATTAATGCGAATCCATAAACTGATTTTGTTTTTTGTACCCAGTCGACAAACTCACCTCAACCCAGGCAGCAATGGAGTTGTCTTCGGGACGAATGGCATTGACATTACTGCTGTCATAGTGATGACTTGGTGCAACAACAATTGTCGGTGGAGCATAGTACGGCTCGTGGAAGCTCACGACCTGAAATTAAAAATTTMCATGTTCCCTTACTGACAAAAATGGGAGGGTGCTTTAAAAGAATGTTGATGTGAACATATGAAACGAATTGCATCTGACCCAGTCCTGTTAGCTTTTAATGGTCGACATGCCCTGCTATCAATTTCCTGAACTTGATCATGGAATAAGCTAGAATACCTGGCAAAACGCATTATTGTCAGCCTCGCTTGGTACAAGAGTGTTTGGAAAGTCTACCCTGATAAAGTCATGATAATTCCATGTTTGGGGAACTTCATTCATTGCCATCCAAGTCTGCAACAGATAATACAAATTAAAAATTTATAATAACATCAAATTGATATTGCTAAATAGCTATTGATGGTCTGCCTAAATGATTCAAAAATTTTAATTTTAAATTATGTTTCTAATGTGGAATGACATATGTCCACAATACCGTACCACATCGATGTCCTTATGGCGTCCATCAAAGGTTCTKGCTTCTCTCATACAAACAATRAAATCGTTTGTRGTGATTTCTTCCACCCAAACTGTAGCTGCATCGTGCTTGTTGTCCAACACATTGTGATGTGCAGTGACGAAGACATGAGGAACACTTGGAAAAGACTAATGGAGAACAGAAGAATGAGTTGAGAGAAGAAAGAATGAAAGAGAAGAGAGATAGGGGCAATAAACAAGGACTGCTTTTTTAGATAAAAGAAATTGAGAAGACAAGTCCATTGAGATAAAAAAAGAAGGAAGCTATCAACAAATGAAAAGGGAAATACAGTCAATCTGCAGTTCTACAAAAAGAAGACAAAAAATGTACAGAAAGAGGAAATAGGAAAACGAGAAAGAATGCTTAAATTAAAGAATAAGAAAAAAAAGGGCAGAAAAATAAGAGAAAACAGAAAGAACAGAATTTAAAAGA